TTGGGTGGTTCTTCCTTTGGTGGCTCCTCCTTGGGAGGTTCTTCCTTTGGTGGCTCCTCTTTGGGAGGTTGTTCCTTGGGTGGTTGCTCCTTGGGAGGTTCTTCTTTAGGGGGTTGTGGTTTGGGTGTAGAAGGTGTTGGAACTGATTCCGGTGATGGTTTTGGTGGTTGTTGCTTAGGTTGTGGAGGAGGTTGTTGTTTGGGTTGTTCTAGCTTTGGTGTCTTTGGCTTCTCAACTGGAGGCTGAGATGGTTTTGATGGTCCTTGTCCACCTCCACACTTTGCCTTACCGCAATCCACTGGTTTGCTAACCACAACTTGACATTCTTTTGCTGACTTTTGTTGAGGCCTATCTGGTAAGCAATTGCTTATGTCATCAAACACAGCGTTCTTCCGAGAAGACGGTACACATTCTTGGGTCTCACCATTGAAGAAGTTATAGGAGAACGTGAAGTTCACTAAGTTTGGCAATGTGCATAAACTCTCGGGAACAAACCCAGTTAGCATGTTGTGTGAAATATCCACCTCCTCCAACTTCTCTAGGCCTTTGAAAGTTTTGGACAAGATCCCACTGAATGTGTTTGAACTAATATCAAACACAGTCACCTTAGAGAGATATCCGATTTCAGGAGGCAAACACCCAGCAAACTTGTTGTTGGACAAGATAATCTCGTTCAAAGTGTTTACCATCTTTCCAATGCTGTTAGGGATGCAGCCCTCGAGATCATTGTTGGCGACCACAAGAACTGAGACAGGGGAGTTACCAAGCGTGTCAGGAATGGTAGATGTGAACCTGTTGTCGTTCAAGAACAGGGCATCCAATTTCTTGTTGAAGAGCTCAGGAGGCAATTTCCCCTCAAAATTATTAAACCTGAGGTCAAGATACTTGAGGTTTGGAATATGCAGGACAACTTCTGGGAACGATCCCACGAATCGGTTGTTGCTAACATCGAACTCGTGGAGAAGAGTTAGCCTAGAGAAGCTCTTGGGGATGATACCACAGAACCTGTTGGAGTTTATGTGGAACAAGGCGATGTCGGTCAACAGGCCTAATTCAACAGGAAGGTATCCTGCAATGTCGGCATGGTTGAGATCAATGCCAGCCACAACCTCTAATTCTGGGTCATCAAGAGCTTTTGCACAGAACACTCCGGTATAAGCGCAGACATTAGCACCAACCCAGTTCTCTGTTGTTTTAAGAGGGTCTGAGTATAAGGCCTTTTTCCATGCTTGAAGCGCAATGTATGCACGTCTAAGCCTGGTGTTGGGAAAGTTCAGGTTCAACTCAACCTCAAATTCATAATGATCAGGAAGGTCACCACCTTCGGGGAGGGCTAACAGCTGTCTACGTGCAATAGAGGATGCTTCAGCATCGGTTAGAGCAGAGGAGAAGGAAGAGAATGAAGAAAAGAAAAGAAAGAAAACTAGGAAACAGCCAGAGGCCTGCATTTTTTGCTTTTCCACTGCCTCCTTGGTTTGGCCCAAGGATGCTTATAGGTGATGGGGAGGAGAGGATGAATAGGGAGTGTTATATTGAGCGGTAGGGCCAGTTTGGTTTGGTTTGTTTGAGAGGCTGTGCAAAAATTTCTCTGCTATTTTTGCAATCTCAAGTAATTTGCCCATCTGGCTTTCACAAATTAAGCACCACAAAATTGGTTGGTTACAGCTTTTCTTCATGTTTTTCAAAACAAATCTAAATTTAGGGAAGTTTTGTTTGGCAATGGAAATGCCTAGTAATTTGGTATTTTTGCCTAAATTTGCATGTCATGGTTACTAAATGATTGACGGTTGATGACCAGGTCTCCTCCCAAATATCAGTAAAGAATTTTGCATGCAGTTCGATGGAGTTTTCACGTCGCAGAATTTCTCTCATTTGTTTATGGAAAGATCAGTACTTTTTTTGATGAAAAAAAGATCAGTACTTTCGACCGCATGAAAATCATAACTTTTTTTGGGGTAAATCATGATCAGTACTTTCCGGCCAGCCACCCCAACAAATGTGAAAAAAAATGAACATAATAGTAACAGGTCCAACTTGATGGCCTAGTGGGTTTTTATGCCCTCCTCAGAATTCTCTTTTTCAACTCTATGTCATGTTCTGTCCACTCAAAAAAAGAACAAGACAAAAATCAACTCTTTGTTTATTGAAATAGCGTTTTGGTTTGGTAAAACTAGTTCCAATTAAAATTGCTTCTTAGATTATAGATTGTAAGAGCCGGATTCATTTGCAAGATGTACCTTTCTGTTTTTGTAATTTAGGACATTTTATTATCCCTTCAAAATTCAATTACTGCTTACATATTTGTGTTTTTCTTTCAACATAAACATCAGCTTACATAAATATAACATCGAATTGCAAAGGGTTTGTAGATAATTAAGATCATTTACTCTTGCACTTGAGGTCATGTTCGAATTCACATCCCCCAATCGCTTGTGTAAAAAAAAACTTAAAGTTTAATACCTGTGCATGGAATAACCCCATAAAATATGAGAGTTGGAACATGGCATCATTGGCCTTTTTGTACACAAAGCAAAAAGCAACTAAGACAATGCTTAATGTTCAAAGTTATGACCTTCCCCTTGCAGATTTTAAGTGTAAGCAAAGGGAACTTGGGTCACTTGGCTTGGTCTGACTTTTGGGTTGATTTTGAACTTAAATCCTTACAAGTCCAGTCAACTCAGAATCCTCTTGATTAGTCTATGTCCATACACAAATATCCTACATAAACACATTTGCACGCGTTTTTAGCCATAATTGCAGTCAAAGGCTGCCTTTGGCTTTGGTACAAGAAGAAGAAGCCTCAACAAGAAATGCCCACCAACTCTCTACATAGTCTTAAACTTTAGAGCCACCGGAAAACACCAAAACAAAACATAAACATAAACACTTGATATTTGGGAATACTTTAAAAGAAAGAAAATCAAATGATTCTCCCAGCCAACCACAAGGCACCAACAACGACATCAATTTCTTCTCCTTGTTCTGCTTCCCTTCTTTCCTTTCGCCAGTGAAAGACAAAGACCCTTTTTCTATGGGAACCTCAACCAGAACCTCAAGCTCAGACGCTTTGACCACCACTCTCTCCAACTCAATCCAAGCTCTGGGTCGTGGCTTTGATGTCACTTCCGATATTAGGCTTCTCTACTGCAAAGGGACACCTGGGTCCAGGCTTGTGATTCTTGATGAAGATCAGGCTAAAGATCTTGTTTTGTCTGATGGTGTTGTTGTGCCAAATGTGCCTGTCGATATCGACTGCGTACCTGGCAAGAGGACCATTGAGAGAAATCCTGTCTGCAGCTTCCATGAGGTGCTTTTTGATCCACTTTTGGTTGATGGGTTTTCTGTTTTTTATGAGTTCAGATTCAAATTCCATGATTTTTTTTGGTGTATTTGGGTAACTGAGGTTCTTGTTCCTGCTTATGTCATTGCAGATACTTCAGTTCAGTATTGGGCTTGCTGGGAATTAAGTTTTCCTGGTTTTATTTTAGTTGAGTACTAAAAGTTGTCATCTTGGTTTGTTTTAAGCTTTGTAATTTGATGGTGAAGGGTACATGTTGCTTTGCTGGGTTTTTATGGTTTTGGGATTTCATATTTTGTGCCCTGTTGGGCTTTATTCAATTTTGCTTGTGTCAATTGCTTATATGTGAATCTAGTTGTCTTTAGGTACGTCAACACTTGATATGGTTGTTTTCCATGGCATAGTCTGAAAGTTAGAAAAGATCATGTCTTTGTCTTCTTCTGGGCTTCTGAATTGTTTTTCTTCATAGATACTACTTAGAGAGGAAAAAACCTTGAGTATCAGCATTATATGCTAGGTTGTCTTGAATTGTTTGTGATATGCAGAGAATAAATTACTCATCTCTTGCAGAAAAATGCGCTATGAGCTCGTTAGGCTGAGGTTCTAGTGAATGTTTATCTAAATGAAGAAGAATGGTGTGAATAAATTATTTGAAATGAACTGTTTGTATAGTTTGCTTAAACCAACCCTGTTTAGTTCATTACAGAATAAAGTTGTCATGAGATCCTGTGAACATGCTTACACATAAAACTTAAGCTGTTGTGATCTAAAAATTAATTTATATTCCAACAGTAACCAAGTTCTGATGTGTATTTTCTTAAATTAGATTTTTCATTTTTGAACTATGTCTTCTGTTTATAGAATCAATGGTATCTATACCTATGTGGTTACGATTTCATGCATGCATTGGTATTTTGACTTACTCTCTCCTAATTATAGCAAACCATTTTACCTTGTTGTTAAAGTACAATTTTATGACCTTATGCCTTTGATCTTGAAACTCCAGATGGCAGAATACTTCAACAAGAAATCAGGAATATCAGGACGCACTCCCCTTGGAAGCTTTAATGCCATGTTTAATTTCACTGGTTCTTGGCAAGTTGATGCAGCAGCAACCAAATCCCTTGCTATGGTTGGATACTTCATTCCACTATACAAAGTTAAATTAGAAAAAGTGAATTTAGTTTTGCATGAGGAAATCAAGCGTGCTGTACCTTACTCATGGGATCCTGCAGCCTTGGCAAGGTAAGCAACTATATGTGATAGCGAATCAAAATTTAAACCTGAAAAGCCTGTCTGTTTTTTTTGTCTTTTGTAATTCTAATACTCTCAAATAAATAATAAAAAACAATTATCAATAAAGTTGATAGGCTAATTTCAAATTTGAATAACTCAGTTTCCTATCTATATGTAAAACTAATAGATCTTCCAGAGGACAATCTCACTTGTTGGCAGTGCCTGATTACTTAGTCTAATACCTACTTTGAGTCATAGTATGTTCCTACCTTGATCAATGGGGGATAAATGCATTTAAGGAGCTTTCTGACGACAAATTGATTGATTAATTATCAAAACCTGCGTATGATAAATGGAGGCACTTGATCCAAAAAGGTCTGTACTATGTCCAAACATAAATGTAATGATACTAGTAAGTAACAGTTTATTGAAACACAAACTAGGTATGTTCTAACAAGGAGGACAAGATATGCCATCTTTGGAATTATGCTGGGTTGTTCTTATAGTTACATCTTTTACTGCATGAATTTAGACATGCTGCCCCAGTAATTCATATTGAATTGTTTTTAATTTATAATGCTGAACTACAATATCTGGCAATTCATAACTGCAGAGTGTTTCTTAAATAAGGTAACTAGATCAATTTGATCTGTAAAGCACCAGAATTTTGATAGACAGTTTTCTTCTTCTTTTTTCCTCTTGTTCATTATTCAGTTTTATTGAGAGTTTTGGTACCCATATCGTCACATCTGCAACTATTGGGGGAAGAGATGTGGTCTATATCAGGCAGCACCAGTCATCTCCTTTGTCAACATCGGACATTGAGAATTATGTGAAAGACATTGGTGATCATAGGTTTGTGGACTCAAAAAGCCAGTCAACTCCTGGCCCATTAAAATACAAGGACAAGGTTTGTGTCATAAGCATTTCACAACATATTTTTCCTTCTTTATTTATTATTTTTTTGGTGTGGTTTTACCAAGGAACTTCAATCATCCAGCTCAAACTTTCCACTCATTCTTGAAATAATTTGTGAGTTGTCACTGTTCGTTGCTCATTGCACTTGTGTGTGAAGATCCTTAAACTTTGTTTCTCGTTTCAGGATGTTACAGTCATCTTTAGGAGAAGAGGGGGTGATGATCTTGAGCAGAGTCATGTCAAGTGGGCAGAGACTGTACAACTAGCACCAGATGTGATTAACATGACATTTACACCCATTGTTTCTTTGCTTGAAGGAGTGCCTGGAATAAAGCATTTGAGTCGTGCGATTGAGTTATATCTAGAATGTAAGACCCAATCTAAAATTCACTGTTCTAAAAATGTGGCTTTGAATGCAATCTAATATTAGATATATTACTGTAATAATTAACAATATATGGTTGGTTTGAATTATTATACAGAACCTTGTATACATATTAAAAGTATGCTTACCTACGTGACCCCCCTGCCCCTCCAAAAAAAAAAAATGTTGGGTAGACTTACCCACCTGTGCAGTTTTTGGTTGTAGCACTGCCAGGGCAGCTTTGGGTGATGGTAGGTCAGATGGCATCATGTCGTTGGTATTAAGTAGAAAGATTGTGCTTGTTAGAAAGTCTTCAAAGATTTTAAAAACAATGTCTTTCTTGTGAATTTACCTTGTCTATTGCTCATTACATACTATTCATTTCTTTACTTTTCTGTTACCTAAACTTGTGAAGTTGTGGAAAGTTTCCCTGACATGCTGATAAGTGGTAACCCAGAAAGAATCTATGAATTGAAATTCGCTTCATTCACTATTTTGGGAACAGGGTCTTTTTGTTGGTGTCTCTACAACTATGTAGCTCCACCTGTTCAGGCCTTACAGGTGTTTTTAACATTTTTTATATGTTTGTAATTGTTTTTACCAGATAAGCCACCAATTGAAGATCTGCAGTATTTCTTGGATTTTCAAATTGCTCAAGTTTGGGCCCCGGAGCAGAATAATCTGCAACGAAAAGAACCTGTGTGTTCATCCCTTCAGTTCAGCTTGATGGGTCCCAAGCTTTATATCAGTCCAGATCAGGTATTCTTGTTGGTTGTCATTAGTCCTTTAATGACTTTGTTATCAAATTATTGTGTGGGAAAAGAATTGACTCGTTCATTTCCTTCTACATTCCATTTCGCTAGGAACTGACTTTCAAACTATTGAGCTAATAATATTAAGGGGAGAAAAGATAAATATGGAGGATGGTCGTAGCAGAAAGTATGAAAAGCATGTGATTGTTAAATTTAAAAAGCATTGAGGTAACAGAAAATAAGATGGAAAACAGCATCTAGTATTTGGATTGTAATCTACATAATTCAAATTAAATTTCTTTGAGACAGTGCTCCAAGATTCAACAGCTAAAATGCTAGGAGTTGACTGAATCTGATTTTATTTATTACAAGAAAAAGACAATCCTGGAACGAAACTTTTCTTCAATAATTTTAGGCCTGTCATGTTATTGTTAAAATATGTTTGTGTGTGGGGTTGGGGGGAGGGCGGTAGGCCCTCTTGAGGTTAATTATCAATAAATAAATTTAAGAATCCCTTCACTGCATCTCAGTATTTGTCTAACCATAAAGAATGTTTCTGTACGTATATTAAAAAATCTTTTGGCCTCGCAGGTAACAGTAGGACGTAAGCCTGTCACTGGGCTTAGACTGAACCTAGAAGGCAGCAAACAGAACCGACTTGCTATACATTTGCAACATCTCGTGTCCCTTCCAAAAATCCTTCAACCCCATTGGGATGCGCACATGGCAATAGGTGCACCCAGGTGGCAAGGTCCTGAGGAGCAAGACAGCCGTTGGTTTGAGCCAATCAAGTGGAAGAACTTCTCCCATGTAAGCACTGCACCAATAGAGCACGTGGAGACTTCTATTGGTGACCTCTCTGGTGTTCACATTGTCACAGGGGGTCAGCTTGGTGTTTGGGATTTTGGTGCCAAAAATGTATTGCACCTCAAGCTCCTCTTCTCCAAAGTACCAGGCTGCACAATTAGGCGGTCTGTTTGGGATCACAGCCCCTCCGCCCCCCCTTCTGCACAAAGATCTGATGGTTCTTCGTCGTCACACTCACATTTAAACAACAGAACATCCGATGATAAAAAGGAAGATAGTTCAAGCCATATGGCAAAACTAGCAAAACTAGTGGACTTGACAGAAATGTCAAAAGGGCCGCAAGATATTCCAGGTCATTGGTTAGTCACAGGGGCTAAGCTTGGAGTTGACAAGGGAAAGATTGTATTGCGCGTAAAATACTCCTTGCTGAACTACTGATCATTGCCCTTTTGTTTCGGTAATTGTAGGCTTTCCACCAAAATTTGATAGTCAGCATTCTTTGCACAGGCAACCCCTGTTCTGTACATTTTGTTCTTTTTGTTTCGTAGTCATCTTCAATTGATAGTCACATCATTACTTATCTGAGGGTTTTTCTTCTAGAATTGATTGAGGATTTTCCTTTTTTCTTTGTTCGTTTTGGAGGACATTGTAAGTTGTTGAATAATCATATACTTGTTTACTTAATATATGAAGTAATTTATTTTCCAGTGACATCAACAACGCCTGTGTAGGATGATTGACTAGTGGTCTAGCAATGCGTATATTCTTTGTCGATGCAATGTTTCGATTTTCATTTCGTGTCTGGATGTGCACGCAGCTAGTATTTTATATTTGCTCGAGTACTCATCAAGAAAAGTCTTTTGGTTTAATAAGAAAATATAATCCCAACTTCATGTTGAATGCAATTTGAACTTTTTGGGCCGAGTTTCTCGTGACTTCTTGCTTGTGAAGTAATGCAAGTAGCTGCAATAATGAGACAATAGTGACTCAGCCTAGTGATGAAAACTATGTATGCACCTAATCACTTGTATTTTGTCGTCTTCTTTTTTTTCTAATCATTTTTTTATCAGTGCCATAATTAGTATCTAGTTACCAAACCAGAATTACTCCACCCAGGGAGAGAGAGTGAAACCAGTATCTTATTACTATAATTGAATGTTGGCTGAGTTTGTAATCTAAACAAGTTTTAAGCCGAATGGGAAATTTATTGTCTGCATCAAACACATACCTGTTGTGAGAGAGATTAGATTATGAATCCGGCTGATCAATTAGTGATGCTTTTCTTTCAAATATTGAAAGAGGTTCTAAGTTTGAATCCACCACCTTCCGTTGATTAAAAAAGAAAATCCGGCTGCGACTGGAGCAGGCAAATTGCTATACGCGTTAGGGTTATGTAGCCCCACATCTGACTTAATCATCCACACCCATTATACGTTAATCACAGTATAAAACAGTGTTTGGGTTTGAATTTCTGAGTATAATATTTCGTATACCTAACACAGCGTGAGCCATTCAGATGTCTGTACTGGTATCTGTCAGCTGTATGTTTTAACGTTTGTACAATAACAACATACAAGTCCTTTTTAATGTTGAGCCCACAAACTAAAATGCAAATTAACTTGCATATTTAGGCTGACATTTGCATTAACAAAAGGGTTCTTTAGCTTTCAACCAACAGTTCATGTCTACGTGAAAACTATGCTGCTGTGATGTGAATGATTGCTGCAAAATGAGATTGCAAGATACAGTCATTGAAGAAAGGGGCAGATAGTAAAGTCCAAGAGCAAAGGTCCTCCAAGGGCAAAGACAGATTGGGTGTTCAGATGCTTTTGGACTTGGGTGGACATGCAAACTCTTCTTTTTGTAATGTTTCTCTATGTAACATTTCTAGAATTAAAATTCGAAAGTGCCCAACAATTTGGACTTACACTCAACCCCTTTTGAATACTTCCTCCATATGCCCATCTAGTTTCTTTCCTCTTCATTTTCCTGAGTCGACAAGAAGTATTATCAACCCTGTAAAAAGAACATTCAAGCAACAATTTAGATAATGGAACTTGACACAAAAATTGGTTAGGCTTTTGGAGTTTGACATTCCCAGGCTATTATGTTAAGCATACGAAAAAGGAAATCGAAAGATATTATAGCTGAGGACGAGAGTCTAATCTCATCATGTGTACGTGTATGAGTAAGATACATTTACCACTAGAGCTACAAGTTCTCACATTTCGTATATCTTTAATTGAAAAAATTGAAACACAATTTTTTCTAAGCACCAATAAGATTATTTTATTATATTCTATAGAAGTACATGTTAAATGGGTAGCTCTCATTCTGCTGTCCTTGTTCATGTTTCCTCTTGGACAATCCTTGACAATGTCTTGGGAATCTCTTACCCATGAAGTCGGCAATGTTATGGCAAAACATGCACCAACATTCCAACAAATTAAAGGGCATTATGCGCATGACAATTGGTCGTTACATAACTTACCCCATTAGCCCCACGTCCTTCTATGTCAAGCCTTATATATACAAACCTCAGTTTCAATTAGCCTCTCAACCATTTCTCAAATACACATCGTAACCTCTTCTCTTCCGCACCAGAGATCACAGCATATACTTGTAGCTAGAGCAATGGTAATTTCAGAGCCGTTTATTTCAGTTCAAGTTCCTCAAGAAACTTAACAAATTCATGGGCTTATCTTATTTTTTTAATTTTAACATCAATTCTTTTGTACCCTGCAGGATAAACTTGAGCTTGTTGAAGGGAAGGTGGATTGGAAGGGAAGGTCGGCTGTGAAATATAAACATGGAGGAATGAGAACTGCTGTGCTCATACTAGGTACTCTTTTAGTACACACACATCATGATCACCTTTATACTGGTTTACTGGTTAATTTGCCATTTTGGGTTCTGTGTATACATGTTGCAGCAACATTTGGTTTTGAGAACATGGCAACTTTAGCCCTGGCTGTGAACTTGGTTACATACTTCAATAGGGTCATGCACTTTGAACTAGCAGATGCAGCTAACCAGCTTACCAACTACATGGGAACTAGTTATATTCTCTCCATTCTCGTGGCCATCCTTGCAGACACCTTCTTTGCCAGATTCAAAACTCTTCTCACTTCCGGATGCTTTGAGTTTGTGGTATGTCAAATTAGTCCTCATCACAAATTGAATTGGGTTTTGTAATTGGATAGTGTTTGATGGATATAATGAATGTTGCAAAATTTTCATTCAGGGACTAGCACTACTAACTGTGCAAGCTCACTACCCCAAACTGAGGCCACCACTCTGTAATGTGTTTGATCCAACTGCTAAGTGTGAGAAAGTTGGTGGTGGAAATGCTGCACTGCTTTTTATTGCTCTCTACATGTTAGCTGCCGGGGCTGCCGGGATCAAGGCCACATTGCCATCACATGGTGCTGATCAGTTTGATGAAAGGGACCCAAGAGAGGCAAGGCAGATGTCCAGTTTCTTCAACCTGCTGTTGCTAGCAGTGTGCTTGGGTGGTTCAGTCAGTTTGACACTAGTTGTGTGGCTCCAAGATAATAGAGGATGGGATTGGGGCTTTGGGCTCTCCACAATTGCCATTTTCTTGGGTGTGGTCATCTTTTTTGCAGGATTGCCTTTGTACCGGATACAACCTATCAGAGGAACTAGTGCCATAGTTGAAATTATACAGGTTTGTTTCCTTTTTAACCCTATAAAATTTAGTTCGAAGACTTAGGTAATTAACAAAGAGTAAGTAATCTAGTCATGCCTTTCCATGGAGAAATTTTTTGGTGGAGGAGGACGTATACGCTCTTTTCTCACAATCATCCATCTACTTGAACGGCACGTGATGTGTTGATGTGAAAAAGAGGATGTATATGACTAGTCACCCTAAAGTATTTGCTTTCAATGGACTAAAAAAGAAAAGATCCCTCTTTGGAGGTTAAGGAAAGATATGGTTTTTTATAAGTTAATCCAAATTAATATCATAGATTGACTAAGTCAGTAAGATGTAGTGTATGCTTTGTTTTCTATTGGTGCTTAGATATAGGGAATCTAAGGAGGAGACGGCTCAAGGAAGATCCTTAAATGGATACTTCCAAATATACTCTGTTTCTTCAGATCAATTCGTTAATTACAACTAGTTGACCTCTTGCTCATGTCCTTTTTAGGTGTATGTTGCAGCCATCCGTAACAGAAACCTTAGCCTTCCTGAGGACCCTGCAGATTTGTATGAGATTAACAAAGACAAGGAAGCTGCTCTTGAAGAAGAATTTCTACCTCACAGATCCATTTTCAGGTACCTTATCAATTTTTTACCAAAACACATGATCTTCCACATTTGAAGAGTGGCAAAATTAAGTATGTCATATTTCCGGCATGTTATGTTATCAAAATGTGAATCAAATGCGCACATTCAAATATTATCTTGATTCACAGTCCCACAACATAAAATATATCAAATTGTCACGGCAACAAAAATTTCTTATTAATTCCTTGCCTAATACATAATTGAATTTCTCTTCAGATTTTTGGACAAAGCAGCCATCCAACCATCAACAACAGGGCAAGTTGATGAACAGCAGCCTCCAAACCCATGGAAGCTCTGCAGAGTGACCCAAGTGGAAAATGCAAAAATCATACTAGGCATGGTCCCTATATTCGGCTGCACAATTATAATGACCCTTTGCCTGGCTCAGCTCCAAACCTTCTCAATCCAACAGGGCCTCACCATGGACACAAGCATCACCAAATCCTTCAAAATACCACCAGCCTCACTCCCCATCATCCCAATTGTGTTCCTGATCATCATAATCCCTGTCTACGATCGCATCTTCGTGCCGATAGTAAGCAAATTTACAGGCATACCCTCCGGCATAACCCACCTGCAGCGCATAGGGGTAGGGCTAATCCTGTCCTGTGTCTCCATGGCTGTGGCTGGCATCATGGAAGTGAAGAGAAAAGATGTGGCAAGAGACCACAACATGCTGCTGGCAAGGCCAGTGCTTCAGCCACTGCCCATCAGCACATTCTGGCTCTCTTTCCAGTACTTCATATTTGGAATTGCAGACATGTTCACTTATGTGGGGCTTCTTGAGTTTTTCTACTCAGAGGCGCCTATGGGCTTGAAATCTATCTCAACTTGCTTTCTGTGGAGCTCCATGGCACTTGGGTATTTTTTCAGCACCATATTGGTGAAGATTGTGAATGGTGCAACAAAGGATGTGACAAGAAGTGGAGGTTGGTTGGCTGGGAACAACATCAACTTGAACCACTTGAATCTTTTCTATTGGTTGCTTTCGTTCATGAGCTTGATCAACTTCTTTGCCTATGTGTTTGTTGCTAAGAGGTACAAGTACAGGCCTGGGAACCCCATCCTGCTCTCAAAACAGAACAAGGAAATTGAGGAATGACTTCTCATCCTGATCATCAGGATCCAAGAAGAAATACTAAATATATGTTGTTAATTTAATGTAATGTCATGTGTGAAAAGTTGGATAGTTTCAATGTGATGATTTAGGCCTAGGACGTTTGCTTTCCTTTCCAGCTACTACTTGTGACCATTTATTTTTTGTGTTCATCCTCAATGAAAATCATGATGAGTTTCGATTATTCCCATATTTTCCAACTTAATTTGATTGGTTTAATTTACACGTACATGATATATTTGAAAGAAATTCTTAAAATCATCACTTCGTTATCAACTTGCTTTTGGTCTAGCGAATTTGCGAATTTTTATTTTCATCGTTACAAGAAGTTTCAAGTTCAAATCTCTTTCTCGTCCGTGAATTTTTTTAAAAAAAAATTCATTATTTGTCAAAACTCAAAATACAAAGTGAAACCCAAAGACCCAAACGAACTGGACAGGTGTCACTGTAGCCACTTTACAAGTTCCACTCAACCTCAAATCAACTACATTTGGCAATCTCAACTCACAACCCTCAGCCACCTCACACCTCCCCCATGCAACATGCATGTCCACGTGGAATCCTCACAACACACCACGTATTCCCACTCCTTTATCAATTATCTCTCCTTGGAAACTCTTTCTGATCACATATATTAAAGTAGTTACAACCAGAGACAGTCTACACTTGCACTGTTCATAGTCACAGAGAGAGAGAGAGAGTACGAACGACGTCGTTCGAGATGGCTTCAAGCGACAAGACACCGACTCCGAACCCGGCCTTCCAAGGTGACCATCCGACGCCGCCGGAAAAGCCGATGACAATGGGACAACACGTGTTGGACAAAGGAGCGGAGATGATGCAGTCCCTGAAGCCGGTGAACCAGATGAGCCAGCACGTGTGCACCTTCGCCCTCTACAGCCACGACATGACACGTCAGATCGAGACCCATCACTACGTCACCCGCCTCAACCAGGACTTCCTCCAGTGCGCCGTCTACGACTCCGACGACTCCCACGCCCGACTCATCGGTAAAGATATAAAAGCCACACTGAAACGACGTTGTTTGGGGCAAAAGGCTTAATTAATTTCCAATTTGTGGTCTTTTTTCAGGTGTGGAGTATGTGGTGTCTGATAGGATATTTGAGACTCTGCCTCCGGATGAGCAAAAGCTGTGGCATTCCCATGCTTATGAGATCAAAGCAGGCCTCTGGGTCAACCCTCGGATCCCCGATATGATTGGCCAGCCTGAGCTCAAGAATTTGACCAAAACTTATGGCAAATTCTGGTGCACATGGCAGGTTGATCGAGGTAAATAAAATAGAAATGAAAAAGAAAGGCCTCTTGCACGCGGCGCTTAATTACTAATTAATTAAACAAAATTTGGTAGATGGGTTTTTATTGAAACATTAATTAAATTAATTGCTTTGGTTTATTATTAGGTGATCGGCTTCCACTGGGGGCGCCGGCGCTAATGATGTCGCCCCAAGCGGTGAACTTGGGGATGGTGAAGCCGGAGCTGGTGCAGAAGAGGGACGACAAGTACAACATATCAACGGATGCTTTGAGGGTGTCGAGGGTGGAGATAGCCGAGCCAGAGTGGAGTAATCCGCAGGCGGATTATTGGAAGCAGCATGGCAAGGGTTTCGCCATTGACGTTAAGCACACTGAGATGAAGAAAATCGCACCCTTTCCTTAAATCGGCATGCATGCATCATTTCGATATCCATAAGACCTTAAATTAAATGTATTTATGCTTAGCTTAGCTTAACTTCGCTTCGAATGTACAAATTGTATGTTTTGGGTTGTGTTTAATTTGGCTACCTGTTTGTGTATCAATATATATAATATTCCACCTAATTAATTAGATGGAAGGTTGAAATTGTTTCGTTGTTTAAGCTGCTACACGTACGAACACCAAATATTTAGAAGGTTTATGTTATGGAGGATAGGAAAATATAATAATTAATGTCAAATCGTGACTAAACTATTTAGTAATTTCTGCATGTTGAGAATAACTATTTAATTGCTTTCTAAAACCTGTTTGGACAGCCCTTCCCTATATTAGACAGCATATGCATGTCGAATTCCTTAGATTAAACAGTTGATCTATTTGCAACCAAAAATATTAGAAATATTCTTAATTTACTATCCTTAATTACTGGCTTTGACTTGCAGTTGAAGTAGCAGAGCAACATCCTCCGCTTGAATAATTGACCTTAACCTAAACGAAAGAGTTATTTACTTTATAACTGTAGGTGGGGAGGCATGAGTGGGCTCACATTATATATTGTAGTGGAAGTCCAATTTTCCTGTTACTAAATTTCATGTGCCCCTGTTTTCCCCTTAGTTTTGCGACATATAGCATACAACTTAACAGGAGTTTAACTATGTTAACTCTCTTTTAGTTTTTCTTTTTTCTTTAATTAAAATTATTAAAATATATTAGATTAGAATACACGTTTGACAAAAACACTTTTGCACGCCGCTTCATCTTTTACGTTACGTGCAAATGAATTGCATATTGGGTGTGCAAATGAATTGCATATTGGGTATATGATTGTCACAAGTTATATGTTTATATGTTTCTCATACAATGGCTAAAAAACCAGCAGTCAAAAAGCAGAAGAAAAAGAATTATGAAGAGCAGAGTTTGGCTTACCTGATGAACCAGTAGCCAACGAGCAAAGTAGAAAAACAAACCATATGCAGGGGTTGAGTTTCACAGAGGGGAGAAGAAGCGGCTGAGTTTTGCAGTGCAGAGAAGATGTAGGGGTTGAAGTCTGATTGTACGTAGCGTAGAAGATGAAGTGGCTTGCAAATGGTGTTTTTGTCAAATGTGTATTCTAATCCAATATATTTTAATGATTTTAATTAAAGAAAAAAAAAAGACTAAAAGAGAGTTAACAAAGTTAAACTCCTATTAAGTTGTGTGTCACATATTGCAAAACTAAGGGGAAAACAAGGGGGCACAGGGGATTTGGTAATAGGAAAATTGGACTCTTGTAGTGGGTGCCTTCTTTTTATTAAAAATCCAAGTGCTTTCTCTAGAAAGCGCTTAAAAGTGATTTTTATAATGTAGAAGTATTTTTTAGTCATTTTAAAAGCAGTCTCAAATCAAAATAGAAGTGAGAGGGGAGAAGGGAGAAGGAACAGTGACTTCCTCCCCTTTCAAAGTGAAAATGGCTCTAGAGTGTTTTTTGAGAGAGAGGAGGCTAGGGTGTTTAGGAGAATCAAAATAGAAGTTCAAAATGTAATGTGATATACACTAGCCTTCAAGAATTGCAAAGTTATTAGACAAGTAGGTAGGTCTCCCGAGCTACTTGTAACCGGAACATAACATATAAGAAAGAACCCAATTATTTCGTTTTAAATTAGAAATCAAAACTGAAATCACACATATATTACTGCGTACGATATACATAATTAAAGTCAACAAATCAATCAAGTGGTAATTGGTATTCCAATATTGTTAATTAATTATTAGCAGTTGAAGTAGCACATGTAGTGTAGAACCAACATCCTCCGCTTGCTGCTCTCTCTATATTCTGGCATTTCCTATTACACATTTAATACTAGTATCGATGCAGCCTCCCTCCCAAATTTTGCTTGGGCGATTACAAATATGTTCAATCTGCTTGCACAAGTGTAATACTTTGGTACATGACCTGCATACCATAATTCCAGGGACGAATTCAGGATTTGAAAACTCCTTGAGTTAAATTTACCTTATAGACAAAGGAAATTTCAATCGATATGGGCTATAGCCCATATAGCCCAATAACTGGATTCGTCCCTGCCCAATTCAAAATGTCAATTCACCTAGAAAATAGAAAGAAAAAAAATCAAAATGTATATTTTTCTTTCATTTTTGTGTCTAATAACTTGAAAATGTTAAAGTGTACCAAATCAAGCTACTTACCAGAATCTGAAGGGTGAATAAACAAGATGACAAACCAGCCATATTTATGTTTTGTGTGCTTTCCGTCCAAAACCATGAGAATTCTGATCACAAGTAGCTTTAATTCTTTTTTACTTTTCTTTTCCTTTTCAGGTTATAAAAAAAGAAAAAAAAAGTACGAGAATAGAATACTGTGCCTCAAAATCTTTATTAATTATTAGCCACTCGAGTACTTGACCATTACATTATAATAACGAAAGACTTTATTCTTATTCTTCTTCTTATTCATAGTAAATGCATGATTTAGCTTGAAACACATGTATTCTTTCTAATAAGAAAAATGCAACACATTGGGGGCTTTTATTAATGTACAGAAAGGAGGATCGAACTTGAGTGCAAGTAGACGGATCAAATGGTCTAACTCGCACCTGTCACCTCAATGTATTTGATTTTGGTATTATTCCTACACAATTGCACTGCAAACTTTTCTTTTCTTTTTATCTTTTTCTAAAAGACTTATCGTTACACCTCCTATATTTTTATTTTATTTTTACCTTTTTCTAATATTTTAAAAAAATTGTTTTAAATAAAATAAATTAAAACTGCTGACCCAAGAGTTTATTCGTTCTTTATATTTTTGGACCGACTCAAAAGTCTATTAATAACCAAAGTGGTTGGTGTGAGTGGTTCGGCATTCTCATTCCTTAAGAGATGTCAGGGGTTCGATCCCTGCTCTCGTATAGAGTCACCACTTTGGTCAGCACTTTACCCTTTACGGGCCGACCCGGTGTGAGCGGGGATTAGTCTGGGTTGTAGTTAATGCTTAAAGGTGCCACCCATAATTGAGGTCCATTTAGGACCACCTCGTGGTTCAGACCGAAAAAAAAAAAAGAAAAAAAAAAAAGGTCTTTTAATTAATGTCGAATGATACTCGAGAATATTCTATTTATTTGATGATCATATGACACCCGGAAAAAATGAAATGAAAATTACCCTTAAATTAATTCCCACAATCCTAATAACCAGCGTTGTATTCTTGGGCTAGTCTCTCTTCCTTTTCATTTAATCCTTCTCAAGTCATTTCCCATGGCGAACCCAGCAGAAACAAAATCTACTGCTCCGGCGGAGAACAACGTGTATTCAGTGTGGGCCCTCCCGCCGGATGACGTGGCGCTCAGGCTGAAGAAGCTGATGCAGGGCCTCCGGGACGAGTTCAGTGGGCCCGAGTTCGAGCCCCATATCACCGTTGTGGGGGCCATCAGTCTAACCCCTGAGGACGCCCTCAACAAGTTCAAATCGGCTTCTCGGGGCCTCAAGGCCTGCGATGCCAAAGTTGATCGTGTGGCTGCCTACGATGCCAGAGTTGATCGTGTGGCTACCGGCACTTTCTTTTACCAGTGTGTTTTTCTCCTCATAAATCCAACCCCTCAGGTATTTTTGTTAATTTCTATTTTCTCTTTTACAATTTTATATGGATTTATAATTATGTTGTGATTTTATTTTTTTCTCAGGTGGTGGAAACTAGTGCACACTGCTGTGGGCATTTCGGTTTCAATAGCTCCACTCGTAAGTTCTAATACACTATAATTTCTTTTATTTTATACTGGTTTCTGCCAAATTTTCTTCGCTGTTAATTAAAATTGATCAAATATTAAGTTGTAAAAGCATATGGTATTATCCATTGAGATGATCGATAATATACTAAACTCACATATATTATATTACACGGATGTACATGTTATTACATTTCGATGTCATTTCTCAAGATTACATCTTTTTTCGATATATTAGCTTTTGTAGATTGCCCATTTTATGTTTAACAAACATATAGATCATTGCCCAATTCATACAAGCCAATCTTGTCATGGTTCTGAAAATTTGAAGCAACATATTTTGATGGACCAACGAAAAGTATTGTTCTTGTTTTAGAATTAATGATTGTGTTGTTGCATGGGATGGGGTGTGGTTTTGTGGTGCAGCTTATATGCCACATTTGAGCATCCTTTACGCGTACCTGACAGAAGAAGAGAAGAAGAAAGCTCAAGAAAAAGCCAACAGTCTTGATGAGAGCATTGGCAGCCTGAGCTTCCCGGTAACTCGCCTTGCATTGTACAAAACCGACACCGGAGATAAAACTCTCAAATCATGGGAGAAGATTGCTGAGTGCACCCTTGAAGCCAACTAGTTCTCTTCTCTTAGTGCATGTTTATAGGCTTATAACTTATGGCCAGTGTACCTGTCATATGTTTTAAGTAAACGCTTGGTTTGGAAAGTGTGTGTTCCTTCTTTTTTCTATGAGACTTTAAGCACATGAGCCCATTGACATGAATTTAATGGGATTTCCGGCTAAGGTTACCATTTCTCCGATCCGATCCAAATGAGATTAAACTAAATCGAGATTAGAGTGTTTGATTACCCTAATCACACCTATGGCCAAAAAGTTCTAATTTTATAGTGTGAAGTTAAAATGTTGTGGCCCAGGGAACATACCATATAGCATCCTGGCGAGGAATACAGGTTGCTGTGAAAAGGCTGGGGGAGGAAGTGCTTATTGATGAGGATAAAGTGTGGGTTGTTCATAAACTACTGAAGGTTTTTCCAATTCACTATTTCCTTGCTTTACGCTCTTTGAATTTATAGGTCAATTTGGTGTTTCTTCAGGAAGGCATTCAGGGATGAGCTTGAATTTCTACAAAAGATACGACATCCGAACGTAGTCCAATTTTTGGGTGCAGTGACTCAAAGCAGTCCAATGATGATTGTAACAGAATATTTGCCTAAGGTTTTTCCCATTCCTTTGATTTTTTAATATGGGATATTGATTACATGATTAAATCTATCATGGCTGTTTCCTGAATTATCATTCCCTTTTTTTTTCTCTATTCTGTGCCCTCTTACTGTTTGCCTTGTATTTGTGGTCATTGTATCTCTCTGTATTGTGAAATAGTAGGCAGGATGAGCATATTTCATAATGTTTACTTGTAAAAGTTGAAGTTCTAATTTTATAGTGTGAAGTGCAATGTTTGAGGTGCTTATTTACTCTTCCATTACCATCCTCTTTGGTCTATGTCAGTGTCCAAATTTGGTTTTAGGATTCCGTTGACTATTGCAGAATCAAATAGGCACGATGTCATTGATGACATGGTTGTGTGAAACAATAATACTCGTAAAGCTTTTTACTTTGTTCAGTTGGCATTCCTCCTCCAAGGTGCATGGAGAGAAAAATTGGAGAGGATAATATTTAGTTTAAAGTTTAAAACAAGTGCAGATAAAGATTTTTATTTTGATCCATAATTCTGTATTTTCATTGCAGGGAGACCTTTGTTTATTTTTGAAAAGAAAAGGAGCATTAAGGCCAACTACAGCTGTAAGATTTGCACTTGATATTGCAAGGTCTGGTACTACTTTGAATTGGTCTTGATTATCAGATTCCAAATATCTTTGGCTAACAAATGATATATTTTATTTATTTATAAATTAACAATTTGGGTATGGGACAGATGACATTTATAATTGAAATTAGTTATTAATCATTTTCCTGTGAATGTCGGAATAGATTACTCAAAGTGGGAAAGAAATTTATTTTATTTTTCCCACTCAAGGTCTAAATTTTGATTTCATTGGCAAATATCGCTGAGAATTTTGTTTTACTGTGAACTACCTATAAAAAATACTCAATCCCTGAGGTCAATAACTAACATGATTTTTTGGAGTGCCAAAAGGCACATATAGCCTAAATCATTCCAACTCCTGAAATTATCCTTTGCTGCAAACTTTAAAAGCTGGTACAACTATTTAGTTTTCCAGAATTTTTCTTTTTAGAAGTTGTGATGCTTGGATGCTCTGCATACAAGATTCATCAGATTTGTAGGCGCAAGATCTCATCTTCATTTTTGTAATTTATAAGAAAGAAATTATATACTAATTTGATTACTCTACAATACATACTTCAAAAGAAGAAAGAAAGATCATGTATTGTTGCTTGGATATTTTTCCTCACTACATTATCTTTGGATATCTTGCAGTTGCAGGGGAATGAGTTATTTGCATGAGAATAAGCCAGAAGCAATAATTCATCGCGATCTTGAGCCTTCGTAAGTTTCTTGTCCTTCTTCATTTCAGTTTTTTTAAGCGAACCTAAGACAATCCAATACCCATTCCGCTTAGCACTTACATGAGGCAAAGCCCAAGTGGTCTTTTCCCCCTTCTCTTTCCGCATTTTACGTGATCTATCCCTTGAAGAAGCATATGCTCATATTAGCACTAAAATTTTAAAAACATGAATCGTTATTTTGCATAACAGTGTGAAACGGTCAGCGTGTTTTTGGACTACTAATATTTCCGATATCATCGATATTTTAGACCTTGCTTAAAACAATTAAAAGCTGCCACTAATGACTTCAATTCTGCTAACAAAATCGGAGAAGGTGGTTTTGGTCCTGTGTACAAGGTACTATAGCTATCTGTACGTTGAATCTTTTCCATGTTTTTTTATAAAGATTTCCCTGTTTTACGTTTACATACATAGTTCTGAACATGGGTTGGGATGCAGGGTCAATTGCCTGATGGTACAGTGATAGCCGTTAAGCAGCTTTCATCTAAGTCAAGGCAGGGAAATCGTGAATTCTTAAATGAGATGGGCATGATTTCTTGTTTCCAGCACTCAAATCTTGTGAAGCTTCATGGATGTTGTATTGATGGAGGTCAGCTATTGCTGGTCTATGAGTACATGGAAAACAATAACCTTGCACGAGCATTGTTTGGTGAGTATGATGTCAATTACTCAACCGTATAAGTGCGGAAACCAATTAAGATGTAACTGATCATGATCTAAAGTGTATAATTTTGAGTTGGTTTTTATCCTTTTCTTTATTTATATCCTTGGATGGGTTATACTGATTTCTAGGTTTCTTCTTGCATACTCCCTGAGTACTACTGGCGGTCCTTTTTGTTTTCGTATTTCTTTCACCCAATTTATTTATAGTTGAAAAGAAAGTCTGAGCGAGCAGTATTTTCATTGACAAACTTTTCTAGGTCGAGAAAATCATCTTAAACTGGACTGGCCAAGAAGTCGTAATATTTGTATTGGGATAGCAAGAGGACTAGCTTTTCTCCATGAAGAATCTGTACTTAAAATTGTTCACCGAGACATCAAAGCTACTAATGTGCTGCTTGATCGGGACTTGAACCCTAAAATATCCGACTTTGGATTAGCAAAGCTCGATGAAGAGGAGAAGTAGGACATATTATCTGAAGTATTACATAAAGTAATAGACCAAGCTTTGTGTTTTTTTTAAACTAACATTAAAAACGTTGCGTCTGGAAATGTAGAGCTTTTTTGGTGGACAGAAATGTAGAGGTGCATTAACTGCACCAACCCTATGAATTAATTATAGGTAATATTTTCCGGTCTTTATACAATTGACCACTCATTATTTTCAGTGGAATCATTTATTATATCTTGTATTTTATTTAGTTAAGTTTTAGATGTGGGATTTATATTTTTTAACACACCCTCCCATATGGGACCACCATATAGTGGGCCACACGTGGTGCCAAATCCACATCAGAGTCAAACATTCAAGCCTAATATGTGGGATTTATATTTTTCAACATGCCCCCCATGTGGGACCACCACATAGTGGGCCATATATGGTGCCAAGTTCACATCAGAGTCAAACATTCAAGTACAACATGTGAACATCACGTATTGGGTAAGGGGTAAGGGTAAACATTCAAGTCCAACATATGAACACCACATATTGGGTCAGGGGTGAGGATAAAGGCCCAATATTTCAGGCCCAGTCATTCAATCCACTCTGATACCATGTTGAATTCAGAGAAACGAGCAGTGGCCCACTACTCGCAACATTGATATTGTCCCCAATTTAAGTACCTACAGAGCCCAGTAGATATTGAGTTTTATCATAAAAGGCCTAGGTGTTATTAGCAGTAGAACCATTCATTATATCTTGTATTTTGTTTAGTCAAGTTTCCAATTTGAGATTTATATTTTTCAACAAATCTCAATGAAGGGTCTGGCACTCCTTGCTTATAAATAGGTAATGGTTTGTGTGCATTGAGTAAGAAAGAAGAGTGATGATGAGACAAAGAGAAAGAAAGAGAAAATCCGAGAGAGTTTTCTTACCATTGTAGTGCATTAAGGATAAATGGCAAGAGGAGTGAATTGTAATGCTCCAAAAACCATCATGAACCTTATTATGCTCATTTCGATTCTTTGCTTTTGCACCAAATCAGTCAATTTTGAAGGACAAGCTTCGCGTCTGCCTGCTGTAGAAGGTAACTTACTCTTTTTCTTGCTTATAAATAGGTAATGGTTTGTGTGCATTGAGTAAGAAAGAAGAGTGATGATGAGACAAAGAGAAAGAAAGAGAAAATCCGAGAGAGTTTTCTTACCATTGTAGTGCATTAAGGATAAATGGCAAGAGGAGTGAATTGTAATGCTCCAAAAACCATCATGAACCTTATTATGCTCATTTCGATTCTTTGCTTTTGCACCAAATCAGTCAATTTTGAAGGACAAGCTTCGCGTCTGCCTGCTGTAGAAGGTAACTTACTCTTTTTCTTGCTTATAAATAGGTAATGGTTTGTGTGCATTGAGTAAGAAAGAAGAGTGATGATGAGACAAAGAGAAAGAAAGAGAAAATCCGAGAGAGTTTTCTTACCATTGTAGTGCATTAAGGATAAATGGCAAGAGGAGTGAATTGTAATGCTCCAAAAACCATCATGAACCTTATTATGCTCATTTCGATTCTTTGCTTTTGCACCAAATCAGTCAAATTTGAAGGACAAGCTTCGCGTCTGCCTGCTGCAGAAGGTAACTTACTCTTTTTCTTGTTTAAGTTTGTATATATTGGTAATACTAATATCCATGCATTCACTCAAGCCTCACTTCAATCAAGTTTTAGCGGCAGTATGCTAATGTTTTGATTTTTTCACTAAAAAATTGTAATTTTGGACTGAAGGAATCAAACCAAGCCACAATTAGTTTCGTGTGGTTTGTTTTGACCTTTTTGAAACCCTCTAGTTTGGCACTGCTGCGCTGGGAAAATAATCACAGTCAGATTTGCTGTGAGAGAAAGCTGTTTGGCGTTTGGTGAACTTTTTGTTTAAAATGTTGTTGGTACTGATTCCCACATAATTAGAAAATGATTCTCGTATAATCATTAAACTAGGCCTTGGCACGGTTTGGGTTGGTTCGGGTTTGGGCTCAACCCGAACACCGAACTGAAGCTCTCGATGTAACAATTTTCAATGCCGACACCGAACCATCATCTTCGGTTAACCGGAGCTCTCGGTTAACAGGTTGAATGGTTTGGGTTGGTTTGGTTTCGGGTTTTGAGGTGCACATAGGTGATATCTGAGCCATGCCATGAAATTTGGGCTCAAAGACAAAGAAATCACAAAGAGAGTAGTTGAAGCATCAGAATTTTCTCCATATGGTGGCGATTAAGGCTTTGGACGAGAAAGAGCAGTGGCCTGTATCATTGAAGCAGAGTATGTGTGTGGTCTGGAGCTTTGCTGGTGTTGCAGTTCAAAAAAAGAGAGAATTTGAGTTGAGGAGATAGAGAAGATTGGGAGGAGAGGGGGAGCGATAGAGAAAGAAGGAGAGATAGAAGAAGAGATAGCTCAGGTGCGTAAAAATAGAAATAAAATACAAACTTTAATATTATAATGATGTTAGGTAAGTGGGAAGAATAGAAAAGAAAAGAAGATGCTTTTGATATTTTATATATGAGGCAGTGCACTTCCAAGTTCCAACACAAGCCAGCCAGACATGATTTGTCCATCCCCATGTGCATGTGCTTTAACTATTTTTAATATTTTATTAGTATTTCTGAGCATCACTCATCAGTTTGGTTTGGTTGAACCGATGATTTCAATATCAAGCACCGAACACCAAATCATAAATATCGGTTTGGTTTGGTTTCAAACCAATAACCAATAAAAATTAAAAATAAAATCAAACCAAATCAGACCAACAGTTTGGTTTGGGCGGTTTAATCGGGTTTTTGGTGTGTATGCCCAGCCCTAGTATTGACAATTAAGAAAGAAAAATCGGCATGAGATATATAGCCCAATAACTGGATTCGTGCTCAATTCAAAATGTCAATTCACCTAGAAAATAGAAAAAAAAATCAAAAATTTTCTTTCATTTTTGTGTATAATAATTTGAAAATGTTAAAGTGTATCAAATCAAAGCTACTCACCAGAATCTGAAGGGTGAATAAACAAGATGACGACAAACCAGCCATATTATGTTTTGTGTGCTTTCCGTCCAAAACCATGAGAATTCTGATCACAAGTAGCTTTTAATTTTTTTTTTTTTTTTTCCTGTTCTTTTTCAGATTTAAAAAAAAAAATTATGGGAATAGAATACGGTGCCTCCAAATCTTTATTAATTATTAGCCACTCCAGTACTTGGCCACTACATTATAACGAAAGACTTTATTCTTATTAATAGGAAATGCATGATTTAGCTTGAAACACAATGTATTTTAATAAGAAAAATGCAACATGTTGGACTTGTAGTAACGTCCAGAAAGGAGGATCGAACTGGAATTCAAGATGGTGGATTCTATGATCTAACTCACACCTGCCACCTCAGTATATTTGATTTTTGTATTATTCCCACACAATTGCACTGCGAACTTTTCTTTTCTTTTTATCTTTTTCTAAAAGACTTATCGTTACACGTCCTTTAATTATTATTTTTACCTTTTACTAATATTAAATTAAATTAAATTAATTAAATTAAAACTACTGACCCAAGAGTTTATTCGTTCTTTATATTTTTGGACCGACTAAAAAAAAAGTCTATTAATTAATGTCGAATGATACTCGAGAATATTCTATTTATTTGATGATGATATGACACCGGAAAAATATGAAATGAAAATTACCCTTGAATTGATTCCCAATAACAAGCGTTGGACTCTTGGGCTCATCTCTTTTCCTCTTCATTCAATCCTTCTCATTTCCCATGGCGAACCCAGCAGAACCAAAATCTACTGCTCTGGCGGAGAACAACGTGTATTCAGTGTGGGCCTTCCCGCCGGATGACGTGGCGCTCAGGCTGAAGAAGCTGATGCAGGGTCTCCGGGACGAGTTCAGTGGGCCCGAGTTCGAGCCCCACATCACCGTTGTGGGGGCCATCAGCCTAACCCCTGAGGACGCCCTCAACAGGTTCAAATCGGCTTCTCGGGGCCTCAAAGCCTACGATGCCAAAGTTGACCGTGTGGCCACCGGCACTTTCTTTTACCAGTGTGTTTTTCTCCTCATAAATCCAACCCCTCAGGTATTTTTGTTAATTTCTATTTTCTCTTTTACAATTTTATATGGATTTATAATTATGTTGTGATTTTATTTTTTTCTCAGGTGGTGGAAACTAGTGCACACTGCTGTGGGCATTTCGGTTTCAATAGCTCCACTCGTAAGTTCTAATACACTATAATTTCTTTTCTTTTATACTGGTTTCTGCCAATTTTTCTTCGCTGTTAATTAAAATTGATCAAATATTAAGTTGTAAAAGCATATGGTATTATCCATTGAGATGATCGATAATATACTTGTCATGGTTCTGAAAATTTGAAGCAACATATTTTGATGGACCAACGAAAAGTATTGTTCTTGTTTTAGAATTAATGATTGTGTTGTTGCATGGGATGGGGTGTGGTTTTGTGGTGCAGCTTATATGCCACATTTGAGCATCCTTTACGCGGACCTGACAGAAGAAGAGAAGAAGAAAGCTCAAGAAAACGCCAACAGTCTTGATGAGAGCATTGGCAGCCTGAGCTTCCCGGTAACTCGCCTTGCATTGTACAAAACCGACACCGGAGATAAAACTCTCAAATCATGGGAGAAGATTGCTGAGTGCACCCTTGAAGCCAACTAGTTCTCTTCTCTTAGTGCATGTTTATAGGCTTATAACTTATGGCCAGTGTCCCTGTCGTATGTTTTAAGTAAACGCTTGGTTTGGAAAGTGTGTGTTCCTTCTTTTTTCTATGAGACTTTAAGCACATGAGCCCTTTGACATGAATTTAATGGGATTTCCGGCTAAGGTTACCATTTCTCCGGTCCGATCCAAATGAGATTAAACTAAATCGAGATTAGAGTGTTTGATTACCCTAATCACACCTATCCCAAAGATACAAGGGTACTTGTTGCCTCTCTTTTTTTTTTAAAAGTTTTCTTTCTGCCAATGAAACCACTCTATTAATGGAAGGGAAAGTTACAAAACGGCCCAAGTTCTTGTTACCCTTTTGTTTTGGGCCAATGGAACTACTCTAAAGCAAAATTAAAAAAGGCCCAAGTCCTTTGTTTCCTTTGATGAAAAACCCAAAAAGAAAAAAAGAGTTGCGGTGAAGAGAAGAAATGGTGATGGGAGGAGGTCTGGTTTGAGTAAGTCAACAAGATGACAAATGGCACAGAAAGAAATGCAGTGAGAATGTAGCTTAGATCATAAGCGAAAGCCTCCATGTGATCTTATCCATAATCACAAGAGTCAAATGAAAAAAATTAACGCAAACCCATTACTTTTGTCACTCGTCAACGGCAGCCAACCTCATTTCTCTGGATAAAATCTCCACCAGAGGGAGGACTCTCTCTCTCAAAATTCCCATCCCAAAGCTTGCCTTTTTTTAAATATATTTTAAAAAAAGAAAAAGAAGAACAAAATCATGTTGAACACCATGGCCATTATAATAATTAATTATTCTTAATTTTAATTTACTCATTAATGGTTCATTGAACAAGCCAACAAGAAGGTTTTAATTTTAGTTTGTAAACCCACTCGCCATTAATTGGGTGGGGCCTGTGCTAAGCACAATAAATGTGAATCAACATCACCATCACAAGTTGCATCAACATCACCGTCACAAGTTGCAGCCGTCAACCTAGCCAATGCCAACATCATCTCATCTTCTCTCTTTCTTCCTTTTTTGTTTCTTCTTGCAACAAAACAATTCACCATTTTGGACACAGACGTAAATTGATGACCAAAACCAGATTTTTGGCAAATTGGGACTAAACTAGACTTAGTTTTTTCTTCCATCTTCAGAACAAAGCTTGAAACCGATGCATGGTACAATGTTATACCAATCCTATGAATAGATAAACACGTGCGATAATGCAAATACGACCTCGTTTTCAGCATGTTCATTTGGTCTCCAAGATAATTCAAATACCTATTACTTTTCAGGTAAACCTATGAAAACCGTAGAAGAAATTTTCAACCATGCCAACCATATCCTTTTTAATAGATAAGAGAAAAATTGTTGGGCCAAAAAAAAGGGAAAAAAGGTTGTTTTGATGGGTTTTTCTGGGGGGAAAAAATGAAATTCAATATTCAACTTGCCTCCTTATAAGCCATAAATGTGACATTTCTTCGTACCGCTCCGCATGTGTGACGATTTTTTAATATGGAACATTTCTTCACATTTTCACACCCTCCGTGTTTGTCTGTAGATCAATGGTGTCAAGACTGTCGCTTTGCATGAAAAAAAAAGAACAAAATCTTCACAAAAGTATTCCTTTTTATTAGGAGGCCAAATAGAAAAATAATTCCCGTGAGTGCCGGACAATGACATTGACAGTTCACACACTTCACGCGCCAACGGTCCCAAGGGGGTGGCTGATATCCATTCCACATACCGACCAGTTCGTTGGTGGCGCAGTGACCGTACCCGCTCACGTTAGCCGAATTCTTCTTAACATGCGCCCCCCTGACGTTCCGTCGAAGTTTCCCTCCACGCGCTCCCAACACGCGAAACAAACCTAAGGATAAAAATATAAAACGGAAATTGTGAACGTTACCACCAAAAACACTTTCCCTACGAAACCGTCGCGAATATAGCAAAAAATTTGCAACTAGAGAAAAGCACTTCAGCTGCTACTGTCTACAGCTCAGCGAAGGAAATTTGTGCTTGTCTGAGAAGCTGACAATGGATGTGAAAACGACGCCGCTGAGGTTCACTTTGGGGAAGCAGTCGTCGTTGGCGCCGGAGGGTGAATGGGAGGAGCTCGTGGCGGGCGAGGGGGAGGATTATCCGGAGGGGATCGATCCCCGAGTGAAGCTCATGTATTTGGCCAATGAAGCCGATTTGGATGGGGTCAAGGAGCTGTTGGACTCCGGGATCGATGTGAATTTCAGGGACATCGATGATCGGACGGCTCTCCATGTCGCCGCGTGTCAGGGCCTCACCGATGTCGTTTCGCTACTGCTCGAGCGCGGAGCTGACGTTGACCCCAAAGACCGATGGGGGAGCACCGTAAGTAAAAACTCAATTTCTAATGTGAAGAATTGTAAATTGGGGGGAAATAAATGTGCTAATAGGTGATAATGTTGCTTGAACAGCCTCTTGCAGATGCTATATACTATAAGCATAACGATGTGATCAAGCTTTTGGAGAAGCGTGGGGCAAAGCCGTTGGTACTTTCTGAATTTGTGGATGTGTACTTGGTTGATTTGAAACTTTCATTGCTTATTATATGAGTCTTCTTTCTTGGCTGATCTGGGTTTGTTTGGTTTCTTTTATGGCTTTCATTTTCAGATGGCTCCCATGCACGTTAGGTATGCCAGAGAAGTCCCAGAATATGAAATTGATCCCAAAGAACTTGACTTTACTGACAGTGTTGAAATAACCAAGGTAAGTTTTTTTTCTTTTCCATGGCATTGATTATGGTATTGTCATTTCTTGTTTCCTCTGTTATCTTGGAACTGTCCTTGCATTTTGTAATGAATGTTTAAAGCCAATTTTTTATGTTATCATCTTGTCTCGGTTTTTTTTTCTTTTTCTTTTTATTGATTTCTGTTTCAAGTCCCGAAGAAAACTACAGGTTCCCACCTCCCTGCTATTTTAACTAGAACCTTTTTTTTGGTTGGACTGTATAAGAAACTTTCGATTAGTTGTTTAATTGGTGTTGTGCCTTTTTTAATATTTTGAAACCATTATCCTCTTCATCTTGCATCAGTAACTGCCTATTGTCTTGTCACTCGCCTTCATTTGTATATGTTAAAATGTTGTGGCCCAGGGAACATACCGTATAGCATCCTGGCGAGGAATACAGGTTGCTGTGAAAAGGCTGGGGGAGGAAGTGCTTATTGATGAGGATAAAGTGTGGGTTGTTCATAAACTACTGAAGGTTTTTCCAATTCACTATTTCCTTGCTTTACGCTCTTTGAATTTATAGGTCAATTTGGTGTTTCTTCAGGAAGGCATTCAGGGATGAGCTTGAATTTCTACAAAAGATACGACATCCGAACGTAGTCCAATTTTTGGGTGCAGTGACTCAAAGCAGTCCAATGATGATTGTAACAGAATATTTGCCTAAGGTTTTTCCCATTCCTTTGATTTTTTGATATGGGATATTGATTACATGATTAAATCTCTCATGACTGTTTCCTGAATTATCATTCCCTTTTTTTTTCTCTATTCTGTGCTTATATTTGGCCCTCTTACTGTTTGCCTTGTATTTGTGGTCATTGTATCTCTCTGTATTGTGAAATAGTAGGCAGGATGAGCATATTTCATAATGTTTACTTGTAAAAGTTGAAGTTCTAATTTTATAGTGTGAAGTGCAATGTTTGAGGTGCTTATTTACTCTTCCATTACCATCCTCTTTGGTCTATGTCAGTGTCCAAATTTGGTTTTAGGATTCCGTTGACTATTGCAGAATCAAATAGGCATGATGTCATTGATGACATGGTTGTGTGAAACAATAATACTCGTAAAGCTTTTTACTTTGTTCAGTTGGCATTCCTCCTCCAAGGTGCATGGAGAGAAAAATTGGAGAGGATAATATTTAGTTTAAAGCTTAAAACAAGCGCGGATAAAGATTTTTATTTTGATCCATAATTCTGTATTTTCATTGCAGGGAGACCTTTGTTTATTTTTGAAAAGAAAAGGAGCATTAAGGCCAACTACAGCTGTAAGATTTGCACTTGATATTGCAAGGTCTGGTACTACTTTGAATTGGTCTTGATTATCAGATTCCAAATATCTTTGGCTAACAAATGATCTATTTTATTTATTTATAAATTAACAATTTGGGTATGGGACAGATGACATTTATAATTGAAATTAGTTATTAATCATTTTCCTGTGAATGTCGGAATAGATTACTCAAAGTGGGAAAGAAATTTAATTTATTTTTCCCACTCACTACATTTTGATTTCATTGGCAAATATCGCTGAGAATTTTGTTTTACTCTGAACTACCTATCAAGAATACTCAATCCCTGAGGACAATAACTAACATGATTTTTTAGAGTGCCAAAAGGCACATATAGCCTAAATCATTCCAACTCCTGAAATTATCCTTTGCTGCAACCTTTAAAAGCTGTTACAACTGTTTAGTTTTCCAGAATTTTTCTTATTAGAAGTTGTGATGCTTGGATGCTCTGCATACAAGATTCATCAGATTTGTAGGCGCAAGATCTCATCTTCATTTTTGTGATTTATAAGAAAGAAATGATATAATAATTTGATTATTCTACAATACATAATTCAAAAGAAGAGAGAAAGATCATGTATTGTTGCTTGGATATTTTTCCTCACTACATTATCTTTGGATATCTTGCAGGGGAATGAGTTATTTGCATGAGAATAAGCCAGAAGCAATAATTCATCGTGATCTTGAGCCTTCGTAAGGTTCTTGTCCTTCTTCATTTCAGTTTTTTTTAGCAAGAATTGAACCTAAGACAATCCAATACCCATTCTGCTTAGCACTTACGTGAGGCAAAGCCCAAGTGGTCTTTTCCCCCTTCTCTTTCCGCGTTTTACGTGATCTATCCCTTGAAGAAGCATATGCTCATATTAGCACTAAAATTTTAAAAA